GGGCGAGCATGTTTGTCGTAACGGGGATTCGAACCCGCGACCTTCAGATTGCGAGTCAAGCACCCTAACCACCTGGCCATGCCGGGCCTGCACACAGAATAACCACCATTGCGAATCAGTGATAAGCTTAACGGCTTTCATCGCTAAAAATCGGAGCTCGATCCCCGTATCGGACACAGCGCGGATATTAATTGTGTAGCTTTGCATTAAAACAAACAAACGTGCAGAATAATTATCATACGAAAAAAAAAACTTAAGAAACCAACATAAGGTAGTTTACAATTATGGAAAATTCTCTGGGAGAAGTCTGAGGTAATAGCTCTTAGTTATCCTTACAGGAGAGTTATTACATCACTATAGTTACAGTTTCACATAGATAACTTTTCCGTTTTTCGCTCACAATTTCTGAAAGCAAAAGAAAATGTCATTTTTCTCGTATTAACATGTAGGTGTGTAAATATTAAATTATTTCCAGCGAGTTAGCGTTTGCTTTGACCAATAATAAAGAAAGCAAAATTTTATAGCTTTTAATTTCTGAAATTGGAAACTAACAGTTGCAATGCACGTAAAAAATAAAATTAAAATAATATGAAACTAATATAAACTTCTGATAAAAGCAAGCTACCTACTTAGACAAGAACTAATATATATAGTAGAGAGCGCAGCTAGCTAAATATGGCTGCCAGCTAGTTTCGGTAACATTTTCCCTGCTTCCAAGCTAAACACAGCTCTGAGCTAGTTTCGGTAACATTTTCCCTGCTTCAAGCTAAACACGTCTCTGAGCTAGTTTCGGTAACATTTTCCCTGCTTTAAGCTAACCATGGCTCTGAGCTAGTTTCGGTAACATTTTCCCTGCTTTAAGCTAAACACGTCTGTGAGCTAGTTTCGGTAACATTTTCCCTGCTTTAAGCTAAACACGGCTCTGAGCTAGTTTCGGTAACATTTTCCCTGCTTCAAGCTAAACACGGCTCTGAGCTAGTTTCGGTAACATTTTCCCTGCTTTAAGCTAAACACGTCTGTGAGCTGGTTTCGGTAACGCTTTCCCTGTTTCCATCCAGAAAGATGCGAAAAATAGCGCGCCTAATTTAGTGTAAGCTTCTATCTTTATTGACTATCAAACTGCATTATGCAAAGCGTTATACAGCAGATGTACATAAATACACGTATTTGTTATTACAGGTTCAGACTTCCACGACAGTTTTTAAAATCAGCTTATGAATACAAAATGTCCAGTTTTACTACATACAGTCTGTGACTCAATAGTGTGACTGGAGGCAACTAATATAACAGCTCTCTCTCACAACTAGTGCTTTAATTTACTTGATTTACATAAAATGTCAAAAATATCTTGTTTTAAAAGCTAAAATGTAGTTTAAGAAATGCTCTCAAGCCATCAAATCCTACATAAAAAGTATTCTTTTGTTTGAAATGTATTGGCCCAGCAAGTTTTAATGCTTTGATATATATATATATATTCCTACATATACTTCTGTTTAAAACCCATATTATCGTGTAAAATAATATATTCATAGTTTCGAAGGCTTTACTTATTTAGCAATTTTAATAAGACTACTCTATCGTAATGCATATAGGATGAACAATACAGTCATCCGGATTTGAATCCGCATGTGATAGAAATTGTTTATTCAGCGACTTTGTGCGAAATTACATCATATATATATATGTGACAAATATGTTATAATTCATGGCATTTATTCTAAAGTCAACAAATAAGTACATCCTGTAACAGCTACAGGCTCTCCAAATTGAATTGATTACACTACGACCACGTGTGCGTTTCCTTGCCAAGGAAGTTGATTTCTATGTCGAAACAACCCTGAGCACAAAACACAGACTACGCTAAAGAAATACATATTGATGAAGCAACAAGGAAAGCTTACTGGATGCCATGTCTCTTTAAAGGAATGGATAGAAGAAAGATAGATAGATAAATGGAGAACAGCAACTAAATATTTCTTCAAGTTTTTCAAAAGAAAGTAATTTAATTGAAGAATATCTACTATAAGTTAACAGTATCAATAAATAAAAATAATAATACACAAACATTATTCTGGAAAATATTTTTTTATACAACTATTACAATATATACCAGGTGTTTCAAAACTTCACTGACAGGCGGCAACTAATTCGAAGTGGTTTGTTTGTTTTAC